GAGAAGAAGAAAAATGGATTTGAGAGAGAAAGAGAAGAGTTTCGATCTGGGTTCCGTTTGAGAGAGAGAGAACAAACAGCCTCTCCTATACATATATTACACTCTTACGTATTGGTTCTCTGACACAACCTATTGCCTCTGAGTTTAAATTCAAAATATCAAGAGGGGTGTTTTCGGTTTATGAGAAGTTGCACATGTAACAGTACCATAGTTACTTTTCTATAAATATCAACTTATTATTCCTTGTTATCGAGGGCAAATACTCTAAAAAATAGGGAAATTGACATTAATAATCATAAAAAAAATTATAATTGACAATCTAATCAAAAACACCTCATGTGACAAAATCACAACCACTTATTTTAGAGTTTTTAGTTAAATTATCAATTATAATATTTTTTTTGGTTATTACATAAATTAACCCAAAAAAATAACTTTGATGTATAGGGCGGGGATTAAACTAGCTTATCCCAAAAAAAAACTCGTGACAACAACTCAGAAATTTGATTATAAAAATCTGAATGATTCTTTCAATGGAAAATATGATAACAATAATGAAATTTATTTTATGGAACGTGGGAGAGACATTAAATATAAATATTTCGGTGTGTTTTGTACCGAACAAGAAACTTCAGAGCTAAACATTGATTAATTCTAGATCTTTAATCACCATTGATACTTCTCATCGAAGATTCAGATTTCAGACACAACCACCGGAAAAAACAGAAAAGAGAAGGATAAAAATGAAATTTGAGCTCGTGTTCATACCATGTCATGGAATCAGCCATCTCAGATCATCAGTGGAGATGGCGAAGCTACTAGTTGACCGTGAAACCCGCCTCTCTATCACCGTAATCATCCTCCCTTTCCTTTTTCCTGGTGGAGTCGGAGTCGGTGCTTCCGCTTACGTCGAAGCTCTCGCTGCCTCATCCAACGACCGTCTCCGCTACGAACTGATCTCAGGCGAAAGTCAACAACCAACCGCCAAGCCGAGGATGGATCTCCATATGGAGAATCAGAAGCCAAAGGTGAGACTCGCCGTTGCGAAACTCGTCGACAAGTACTTGACGGTACCGGACTCGCCGCGGATCGTTGGCTTCGTCATGGACATGTTTTGTGTCTCCATGATTGACGTAGCGAACGAGTTTCGCATTCCGAGTTATCTTTTTTTCACCTCGAACGCCGGGTTTCTTGCACTTGGAACTCACGTTCAGAGGTTGTACGATGAGGGTAAATACGATGTGAGTGAAACAGAGTATGAAGATTCAGAGGCTGAGTTGATCGTTCCGAGTTTGATTCGTCCTTATCCGGTGAAGTGTCTTCCTCACGGTCTAGCGTCGAAAGAGTTGCTACCAATGATCGCAAGATTAAGAGAGATGAAAGGTTTTTTGGTAAATACAGTCGCTGAGCTTGAATCTCATGCGTTCAAGTTTCTCTCCAATGGGGATACTCCTCCTGCTTACCCCGTGGGACCGATGTTGAATCTCGAGAACCAAGTTGACCAGAAGCCATCGGAGATTTTGGAATGGCTTGATGAGCAACCGGCTAAATCTGTGGTGTTCCTCTGTTTTGGGAGCATGGGACGTTTCACTGACAAACAAGCAAGAGAAATCGCCGTCGCGCTCGATCGAAGTGGCCACCGTTTCTTGTGGTCTCTTTGCCGCGCATCTCCTAATACAAAGATTACTGAAGAATCCACGAATTTGGAGGAGATTCTCCCGGAAAGATTCTTCGATCGGACGAAGGAGAGAGGGAAAGTGATCGGATGGGCTCCACAGGTGGCCGTGCTAGCGAAACCGGCGATCGGAGGTTTCGTCACACACTGCGGGTGGAATTCAATGCTCGAGAGCATCTGGTTTGGTGTTCCAACGGCTGCGTGGCCGTTGTACGCAGAACAGAAATTCAACGCCTTTGAAATGGTGGAGGAGCTTGGATTGGCGGTGGAGATAAAGAAGCATTGGAGAGGCGATCTTTTGGCCGGAACGGCGACAGAAACGACGATGGCCGAGGAGATAGAGAGGGGGATCAGGTGTTTGATGGAGCATGATAGTGAGGTGAGGAAGAGAGTGAGTGACATGAGCAAGAAGTGTCACTTGGCTTTGACCGACGGTGGATCATCGCGGATTGCTTTGCAAAAGTTTATTCAAGACGTTTTGAAGAATATCGATTCGACGGATATGAGTCTCTAAGATCTTGAACGATAGGCCCAATAAAAGAATAAGTCAACGGTTGTAACTTGCAAAGCTGCAATTGTTTGAATGTGTG